TTCAGCAGACACGGACCGTTGATCGAGCAGATATCGTAGTTAAGGTGGGAGCGGTCGCATGTGATTGATCCGGTCTGTGGTGGGACCCGCACGGTTGGACCGGGCTCCCATGTTTGTAACGTACCTGAAAACGGCTTGGCGAAACATTCACCGTCTCGTGTTATAGATGAAAAAGATAGATATAAAAATTTTAGATCCGAATACCAAAACAAATTTAAAATTTTATAAATTTAGGGTGCAAAGTATATGATTAGTTCGTACCTCGATTGAATTCGACAGACCATGAGAATCGAAGCTTCGATATAGAGAAATAATACAGAAGACATACGACCGACACGAATAATAAGGCAATGGTCGAATATGAATTAGGAGTCTTCCTCATTTTAATCTTCTTCTCTTTTGCGTATTATTTTACGTATGTATGTATGTGTACGGAGAGATGATGTGGCAGAGAAGAGGCAGAATGAGAAGAAAGAAGAATAAAACAAATGAGAGATGATCCATTTCATGAAATTTTATAGCAATGGATTATGAAGAATTCCTCTTAATGAAATCTTTTTATATTAATTAAAAAAACAAGTAACAAATCAGCATCATTTGGCATTGTAAGGGAATTACACATAAAAATACATGGAATACAGTAATAATACATTAATTTGTGAACAGATTTCAGTTTGCTACCCATTTATTATTTTGCTATAAAATGTTGCATGCCTTAATCCGTTTTTTTTTTTGGAATTATATTTATCTAAAAAGGGAAATTATAATTTCCGTATATAATTTGAACTATTGATTCCTAATTCTATATCCTTAATTAGAGCAATTGAAGATGCTTGGGAGTGCATGCAGAAAACCAAATCCTGATAATACTTAATTATACTCAAATGGAAATTAATATATAAATTAATTTATTTAACTTTTATTGAATTAAATTAATTAAATTTTAATCGATTTTAAAAATAATTGAAAAACATAATATAAAATATACTTTATTTTTTTATAAATTTGTTTCAATAAAAAAGGAAACAAATCTAAATCCAAACCCGAGAGACATAATTTTGTACATATATGCAAAAATAGATAAATTAAAATGGACACAAATCCGATATTTACATATATTGTTTTAAATAGTTTTAAAGTTTTAAGGCCCATGCGTATTTTTTAAAGGAAATTGATTCTAAGAATAAAAACGCAAAATCAAATAAGTTTTTATAAAAAACGATACTGTCACACCAAACGATTGAAAAATAAAAAATCCAGACATGGTGACTTAATAATTTAATAATAGAAGAAAAAAAATTCTGGTCGATAAAAATTTTATTAATGGGCTATGATAGGCCCATCAAGGAGGGCATAGACTCAAATGGGCTTTATGTGTTCTCTAAGCTCATATATAAGCAAACAAGCTAAATCAAACATCAGGCGGGAAGAATTACGGCGCCGGAAAGTTGTGGACTCCGCATGAGAGCGCGAAGAACCGATGTTCCGTTCAATCTCTCTCTTACGCAGACGGATTTCTCAGATAAAGAGATGTCGGATTCAAGAGACATGCATCCCTTACACGACAACAAATGAAATGATTGTGCCCGAAGCCGACGAGGCTGCGACTTACATGCAGTCCGCTTTTTCCAACCCGTGGTTTTTCCTTCTGAGTACTTGTAAAAACGCTGTTTCTCTGAGGAGCGTCCATGGATTGCTCACTGTTCACGGATTCATGGGAGATCTTTCGTGTGTTACGAAGTTGGTGAGTAAATACGGTGGCTTTGGGTATACAAGGGTTGCCCGTTTGGCGTTCGATCAAATTCCTCAACCAGATCTTTATTCGATGAAGGTCATGCTCAGGTGCCACTTCTTGAACGAAGAGAGTTTGGAAGTCGTGAAATTTTACGATTGGATGAGGATGAAGGGTTTTGTTAGTGATAATGTGGTTTTCTCGATGGCCTTGAACGCATGTAGTGATCTGCGGGATCTGGATGAAGGAAGAAAGATACACTGTCAGATTGTTAAGGTGGCTGATCCCGACAGTTTTGTGCTGACGGGTCTCCTATGTATGTATGCTAAGTGCGGAGAAATCAAGAATTCTCGTGAAATGTTTGATGACATTTCCTCAAGGAATGTAGTTTGTTGGACTTCGATGATTGCGGGTTATGTACAAAATGACTGTCCAAAAGAAGGATTAATTTTGTTTAATCGAATGAGGAACAACATGGTTCTTGGTAATGAAATCACATTTGGGAATCTAGTGGCGGCTTGTACAAGGCTTGGAGCTGTACATCAAGGGAAATGGTTACATGGTTATTTGATCAAGAGTGGCATGGACCTCAAGTCATACATGGCGACATGTTTGCTAGATATGTATGTCAAGTGTGGTGATATTCGCGATGCTCGTTTGGTCTTTGACGAGCATTCTTCTGCTGATTTTGTTCTGTGGACGGCTATGATTGTCGGATACACCCACCATGGTTGTGCTAACGAGGCACTAAGCCTTTTTAAGGAAATGCAATCTGCTGGAATCATGCCTAGTTGTGTCACTGTTGCGGGCGTACTTTCGGGATGTGGTCAGTTGGACAATCTGGAAATGGGAAGATCAGTTCACAGCCTATCCTTGAAGCTTGGTCTTTGGGATCATACAGTTGCAAACACTCTGGTGAACATGTATGGCAAGTGCCACCAGAACAGAGATTCTTTCTATGCCTTCGAGATGGAAACGGACAAAGATGTAGTTGCTTGGAATTCTATAATTTCAGGCTTTTCACAAAACGGGTCTGCCCAAGAAGCGTTGCTTCTGTTCCATTGCATGCTCTCGGAATCTGTTGCACCCGATGCTGTAACAGTTGTGAGTATCTTATCGGCTTGTGCTTCTCTTGGGGCTCTATCCGTAGGTTCATCTCTTCATGCTTATTCCGTAAAATCAGGCTTCTTGTCACCATCCAATGTTTATGTTGGTACTGCTCTACTGGACTTCTATGCCAAATGTGGGGATGTTGAATATGCTCGCACTGTTTTCGATGCCATGGAGGAGAAAAATACAATCACATGGAGCGCCATGATCGGAGGATATGGAAAGCAAGGGGACACCAAGGGTTCCCTTGAGATTTTCGATGAGATGCTGAAAAGGCAAAAGAAGCCAAATGAAGCGACCTTCACATCCATTTTATCTGTGTGCAGCCACACAGGGATGATCGAGGAAGGGAAGAAGTACTTCAGCTCAATGTACAAAGATTATAAGTACACGCCTTCCACAAAGCACTATGCATGCATGGTCGATATGCTAGCTCGAGCAGGAAAGCTTGAAGAAGCATTGGATGTCATCGAGAAGATGCCTGTTCAACCAGATGAGAGGTGTTTTGGGGCATTTCTCCATGGATGCGGATTGCATGCCAGGTTTGATCTTGGAGAGATGGGAATTAAGAAGATGCTCAGTTTACATCCGAATGACCCTTCTTATTATGTTCTTATATCGAACTTATATGCTTTGGATGGAAGGTGGGATCAGGTTAATCAGGTTAGAGAATTGATGAAACAAAGAGGAATGAACAAGATTCGGGGCCATAGCAAACACTTAAACCCGGGAATTGTGTCTTTGGGTCAGTAATGTGCACAAGATTCAAAGTTTGCCGTCATCAAGTCGTGAACGTGGGAATATGGGTGGATGATTTGTGCCAGAAAGATGGGACATTGATGAGATTGGTGATAAATATCTTGGCATGGTTGATCAGAGATATTGTCTTGAGACTGGATTTCAAGTGTATAGAGAGACAGGGCGTTTCTTGAATAAAACTAAAAGGTCAATTTATTTGGTGTAGAGCAAGATTTCAGACAATCTAGTCAACAAGTACATCGGCAAGTTGAGAAGAGATTGAGTTGACAAATATATACAATGCTATAGCAGAGCTCAAGTTTATAGACCAGATGGTTTGAGCCATAACATTGAGATTCTTGTTTGTGACAGCTGAAATATCTGGTGAGTTCAAATGTCACTTCTGTTCCCATCTTCATCTTGTGGATCAAAGGGAACTTCATACCGGCTTCTGTTGAACTTCTCGCGCAGTTGCTTGATGGGGATGAAATCCCCGGCTGTGTCTGCTCCATAGAACAGAAAGGAAATGTACGGATGATCGAACCTCTCCTGTGGAATTTTACACCATGAGAGCCAAACTTATAAAACATTAAGGGATTGGATATTGTTTGATACAAAAGTCTGCTCACCATGTCGGGTTTTTCAGGGGCTAACAAATTATCTTCAGGAACTGCAATACCAAAGGTCAAGTTTTTGCTTCAGACAAGGGGAATACAAGACAGCAGTCGTGTCAGTGATTACATATCGGCACAGCGGAGGAGATTGGATCGTGTAACAGTAGCTTACCATATGTCACAAGTAGATTAGGGTCTGCGTGTACATCTACCAGGACCTGCTACACAAACAAGAAGATTTATTTAGTTATATGTCTTCTTTTGTACAAATGTACTGCAACCATTAGTTAAATTTAGTTGGTAACGAAGGAATATTCTTGAAAAGTGCTAATATGAGCTCCTAATCTTGATTTAATATTGTTGAAGGTGACCTGATAAAATGGTTGATTCGAGCCGCGGGGCAAGTTCTCAACCTGGGCAGTTTCCATCCAGGAATTTGATTCGCAGCATATCGGATCCATCCCACAAATTACAGCTTGGTAACCTAAAACGATAGAACGGATTATTACTCAAAATTAGATGAAAAGAACTCGGGGCAAATCTCCTATATGATGATCATACAAAGGGAGCCCGCACAGAAGATACAAGCTAGCTGTAACACATACGATGATATACCGAAAAGTTTGTGTCTAACTTTCTGGCCCAAACGGAACGCATATTGTGCATTCTCATAAGCCAAAGCTTTTGCAGATGCAGCCAAGGATTCGGCCTCAAGTTCTGAAATTTCATCTCGTAACTTAGCAGCCAAAGCATAATCCTCACTATCAATGGCAATCTGAAGATCTGCACTGCTAGGTTTAAGTATGATCAAGATATACTCCATTGTCTAAAGACAAGGGACGGTGTGGTGTCTGAAAGCTATCGAAGTACAAAATCATGAGAAGCAAACCACTAAAATTTGCTTACCGAAGACGGATTATGCTAATAGCCTTGTCTTGAGCTTCACTCTTTGAGGACGATCCTCTTTTCGCCTCTTGCTGCCTCATTGCCTCCTCTTCCACCTTTCAACAAAGAAAATTATTAACTTTTCTGCATTATACATGACAAGGCACCGATTCCTAGAAAATTCTAATGTCAAGACATACATTACACATCTCAACACCAATCTGCGGATTGCAAAAGCTTTCCAAACGAAAGGCCATATCAGTTCATATACCTCATTGAGCTTGTTCCGTAGCTGTTGGGCAATATCATACTGCTCCACATTCAGTGCATACTGCCATTCCAACCATTGAAAACCTCAAAATTGTGAGTAGACTGCAAGAAATCCTTCGAAAATCTCTCGAAGCTTTCTTCACTGGATACATGAAAATAATTTATTGCCAGGGAAAAAAACCCTTCTGACCTGCACGCGAGTTGCCAAGTCTAGCTGAAAGAAGAAAATCAAGATATCCTCATTCGCACTCTCGCTACGCTCGGAGCTCGGATCCAAACCTTGATTACCCCCTCCAAATGGCCATCCAGCTTCAACCCTCGAATTTCTTCGCCTTGATGAGCTTGAGTGTCCTCTAATGGATGATATACGCAGAATCTGATGATAACACACGCATCGATCACCGACCCCAGAAACCAAACCTGAAGACTTCTTCAACTTCTGACGATTGCTCCATGATCCATAAACTCCAGGACTTCCACAGATTGAACTTAAAGTGCTTAATGACTGACTTTGTACCATTCTCATCGAAAACGATTCCGATTCCGATTCCTCTTAACCCCTGAATTATCCTACGAAATTTATTGTAGCAAAAACCAGGGGAAAAAAATACTCTAATCAGATTCTACACGAAGTTGAATCCTCTCAAGCGCGAAGCAATGAAATTTCCTCGAGAACGAAACTATAACGAACAAAAGCCAGAAGGCGATGAACTGTAACTGGATAAACTTACAAATGCACCGAGAAAAATCTGATAAGTGTCGTGGAAAGTCGCCGATGATCAGGGAACCTCACCGGAAATGTGGAGAGATTTCGTCCTCTCAGTTTTTTCCCCTTTTTTTTTTTTTTTTTTTTTTCTGGAGCTTCGTTTTACCAATGTGGCATGGCTTGCGGATAAGGTAAAGATCAGGTACGATGCGGTGTACGGAGGGAAAAGGCATTGTTCGGCATTACCGTGCCACGTGTCTGACCAAATCTTCAGGGCTTAACGTAAGATTATAATGAACGGTGCAGATTCTCCATATGCGTATATTTCTTTATTTGCAAATGAACGCCAAATGTTTTGTGTATTTCATTCATTGAGTTACAGATTTGTAATGTACATTTTATACCCCAATTAGCAGGCGCAAAAATCTGAAAGGGAATATTTCACGCGTTAAATAGAAAAGTCGTCAATAGAATTGCAAAGAAGCATTATTTCTTACACAACATCACGGCGGTAATTGACAACATACTTATGGAAAATTACATAGCATAATCAACAATTACTAGTTGTTAATTGCTTGCTTAATCTATCACCATAGGCTTAATACAATCACTTCTTCATGAAACCTTGAGCCATCTTCATGTAGTCCCCAAACCCACTTCCCGAATCCCCATCGTCTTTCTTTACCGCCGGTTCTCCGGCCGGGGGAGCATTTGCCGGAGCAGCTCCTCCGGTGGTGGTGTGGTGAGTGGTCTCGTACTGGTGGAGGTACTTCTCGGCCTTGTCGAGGTACTGACCGACGCCGGCCTTGTCGTCGAGCTTGCCGTAGTCTCCGGCGGCGCCGAGTAGATCTGCACCCAAGTGTTATCTAGACCCTAACAGCCCTAGTTAGACAACTAAAAACCCAAACTAGACCAGAAACCTAATCAAACCTAAGTCAATCCTAATTGACCTAACCAACCCCTGATTAGTTACCCTAAATCCTAGTCAATCACCTAAAAGTCCTACTCATCAAACCTAAGCCAACCATATTGATTTACCAACCCCTGATTAGACTTTTAGCACCCTAATCAGACCTAAACTAAGTCTAATTGACCTAATTCTCATCTGATCAGACCCTATAAACGCCTAGAACCAATCCCTACAGACCTGCCCTGATCTAAACCAACCCCTACAGATCTATACCTAGTGATTCTAGACTTAACCAACCCCTAAACCAACCCGTTTTAGCTAAATCCCAACTAATCAGATCTAACCGGTCAAAGTACCGGACTCTATGACTCAAAACAGGTACTTAGGAGTCCTATCTAGTCCTAAACTAGATAATACCTAAATCTATAATCAGATTCTAATCTGATTAGACCTAGACAATGTCTCTATAGACATTCTAAACCTTTAATCAGACCTAACCAAGTCTATTTTGACCTAATTACCTACTGATCAGATCTAAACCATGCGAGACCAACCCAAATTTGGATTAACCCAGACCTGACCAAGACCTAAACAACACTTACAGACCTATACCGAATTAAACCAGTCTACTACAGACCTGTACCCGCCTCTTTAGTCTAACCCGACCTCTTACCTAGCTAATCTTAGTCAAATCCAACCTATTCAGACCTATATTGAACAGAGAACCGGAATCTATGACCTATATTAGCTAAACCGAGATCTAAAACAGGTCTAACCCTAGTGTATTTTACTAAACCAAGCCAAATTGGATACTAGACCGACCTAACAGGATAAACCGATCACTACAGACCCTAACATACCCTAAACCAGTCCACTATGTCCTAAACCAGACACCATCAGCCCTAATTTGGACTAACCTAACCCTAAACCAGTTAGTTCTAGTCCTAATTGTACACTCTAGACCCTAAACCGATCTAATCTGGTCCTAAACCACGAATTCAGACCTTAACCTGATCAATACTAGTCCTATACCGATAAACCAGACCTAAATCAGACATATTTTAGCCTATACCGAGTCTGATTTACCTAAACCGAACCCAATTGATCTAAACCCGGACAATTCTAGCCCTAACCGGACAAAACAGACCTAATCAGACCTATACCAAGTCTAAACCAGCCTAAATTGACCTCTACCGGACTTAATTGTCCTAAACCGATCTGAACTAGACAAAACCGAACAAATCAGACCCTAACTTAGACCTAAACCAGCCTAAACTAGTCTGAATTGACCTAAACCGGACCTAGATTGATCTAAACCGGACTAAATTGACCTAAACCGAACTCAATTGACCTAAACCGGACCTAGAATGACCTAAACCGGACTCAATTAACTTAAACCAGACCTAGAATGACCTAACCGGACTCAATTGATCTAAAACCGAACTCAATTGACCTAAATCGGACCTAGACTGACCAGAACCGGCCTGAACCGGTTCAATTGACCCCCAACCGGACCTGAACCGGTCCAACTGACCTGAATCGGTCCGATTTGACCTAATCGGTCAACTGTTGACCAATTTTGGTCAACGGTTTGACTTGACCAACCTAAATCGGTTCGATTTTAAATCGAACCGGGTTTAATTATTCAATCGGATTTAAACCGGCTAAACCGGTTTAAACCGAAAACCCTAATTTCGGAAACGTGAGCTGCCGAGTTCACTCGGTTAACTAGGTCGTTGACTCAGTCCGATTTCCCGACTCAGTCGCGATTCGACGAGTCACGGCCGAGTTTCGCCGGAAAATCCCGGTTTTTCACCGATTCTCCCACCCAACCCATAGATCGACTCACGTAGACTCAAAAACTTACCTGAGCCAGTTCGCAACTCGCCCGAATCTTCGATCTGAGTTAGATCCGAGCCCCTTCCAACAATCGCCGTCGATCTGAGCCGTTCCCGCCGTTCTTGACCGCCGATCTTATCACCGATGGCCTCTCTGATGTCGGTTCTTGCCTGAACCAACTCGAACACCGCATTAGAACGCTCAGACCCGAGATCCAGGAACCTCGACTTACCTCGACAGCGATTCCACCGCCGATTCGTCGTGCCTTGCCCGCAACCGGGCTCTGATACCACTTGTACGTGGTACCGGCCTTCGATCCCTCACCGATTCACTCCGATTCACCCTCGTTTGAACCGATCCGAAAAAGAAACGCAAGAGACACCGAAGATACGAGTTCAGTACCGAGGGGAACCTCGGTACCTACGTCTCGAGAAGAGGAAGCTGTGTGTCTAGGATTACAGACACATACCATCGCCGAAAACTGCCGATAACGGCTCCGGAGACACGCACACACACATTATGATGAGAGAAGGAGCTTTAAGCCGCAAGAGAGAGAAACGTCCGAATTACAGATTGCAAGAAGATGAAACCCAATTAGGGTTTCATTTACAAGCCCGCGTTAAAAGACCATAACACCCCTCCGTCCTTGTGAAGCCTCCATCTCAAACAGAAGCATTAAAATCCTCCACTTCAACTAGCGGATTAGCTGAAGACTTTCTACATTATCTAAACGTCGCCAAACATTATCGTAACGCAGGTAAAAATATGCGATTAAAATTTGAACATTTTATTATCTTATGTCAAATAGCCCTTTACACAGTTACACTCTCATGATATTTAGGTCACTAAATCAATAACTTCAATCCAAATGAAAACCCCTATTAAGAATTATATATGTGTATATAATGGTAGATCTATACTCAAGAAATGTTTCACTGTCCAAGTTAAACATGGAATCTAGTATAGTATACAGATTAATTCCTAAATCAAATCTTGATGTAAATATTTCTTGTCAGAAATTGAAGGAAGAAAACTACTACGTACTATGTCAATGTGGCAGAGTTTCTGATTGAAAAAAATAAATTTCTTGATTGTATATTTAAATGGGAGACAAACTGAATAAATCAAAATATAAAAATCATATAAATATACATTTATTTTGGAATATTCCTCCACAACCCAAACTATTACACTCCAAATTAAAATTCATATGCAAATTATTTTCAAGTAAGTTTTTATTGTCTTTAAACTTCTTTAAATTCTCAATGAGTTTTAGGAATTTTAGGCTTGTATCCATGCAAAAGTACAATTATTTCAAACAACCATACCTAAACAAGTTGATGATTAAATGCATTTGATATATATATATATATATATATATATATATATATGATCAATTTTCAGATTTCTTAGGCCGATACCTATTCAATGTTTCGTTGATTGAATCATGTGTTCAATAACTTGTTGATATTGAGTAAAGTTCATTGGGAAATTGTTTTAAGCATTTAATCGGAATATTGTAAGAGACTAGGAGAGACCCGCGCGATGCGCGGGGTATTTTTGTTATTAGTAATATAAAATATTTATCTTTTTGTTATGAAAACTTATTGATATGAATATAGCAAAAATTATATTATGAAATCATTATATATATATATATATATATGAAGGAACGAAGAAATGAAAGAATTTAAATATCAATAAATTATTATATTATAAAATTATTTTTGTATTAAATAAATTTGCCAATGTAAATTTATATATTTTTTATGATGAAGCGCATGTTTAATCAATATAATTGTACGTTTTACGCTAGGTGTGGGAACGGGTCGGGTACCCGCGATTTTATGGTTACCAGAACCTGAATCCGAACCCAAAAATCATATAAATTAAAAACCCAAACTCGCAACCGTTTTGATCGGGTATCCAAAAATCGGGTACTCGAAATAATGTTTAAGTATCTGTGGATACCCCAACACGGAATTTAAATATAAAATTTATCAGATATAATATTAAGAAAAATATCATAAAATTTTCAATTTTAACCAAGTTATAAAAAATATAAATGATATTCATAAAAAAAACATTACAAAATCATCATATTTTAATTATTTATGAAAGATGTCATAGATAATCAAAAAACAAAGAAAGTTATTAGCCAAAAAATATCTAAGAGTAATTCTTTCACAAACTCACACTGACTCGAAAACCATATGAAACTAAAGTAGATTAGAGATGAAGGAGAAATGAGAAGTACGTGCACATGAAAACGATCAGAAGAAAGGAGAGATAAAGAAGTGGAGAGAGAGAGAGGAGAGAAATGGAGCGAGATGGAATGGGGAAGTGGGAGACGGCTTCTGGAAAAAAAGTAGGAGAGAGCAATGTAAAATTAATCTTAGGTTTTAGTGTTATTCTTTCAAAATATAAGGATGAAATTGTAAATCTATGATTTTTGGGTACCCGCAGGTAATACCCGAATCCGAATCTAACTACCCTAATCTCAGACTTTTTTAAGACTTAAACCCGATTTCATCTTATACATTAGTCGGATACCCGAAATTAGGATACCCGACTCGACCATATATCTCTTTGCATCTTTTTCATTAATGCATTTAGAAATAATAATTTATGAATTTTTTAGTATAAAATTTTATAAATTTAGATGTAATGGATATTTTTTTACATTTATCGAATGCTATCATTTTATTTTTAAATTTATATTTGTTAATTGATACTACCAACACCATATTTAGTAAATTATTGGCATTATTATTAGATAAGATAGATGTTGTATTGAATGAATAATGTTTGTCAAGATCTTGGAATGTAACATATGAACATAGGGTGTCAAAATGGTCGGGTCGGACCGGCCCAGCCCGAGTCCAACACAAGTCCTGAGAATTGTGGGTCGGCCCGAAACATGTGTAGACTTAAAATCTTAGGCCCGAAACCCAGCCCTGTGGACTTTTTTCGGGTTTGGCCCGGACTTCAGGCTTGAACTTTAAAAAAAAAATTAACAAACAAAAAATAAACTATAAAAATATATTAAAAAATCATATAAATAAAAAAAATTAATATATATATATATTGATAAAAACATTTATTAATATATATATTTTGATTTCAGAAAATTTAAACGCTAAATTTTAAAATTTTATATAATAAAAAAGTTTATTTAAATATTAAATTGTTATATTTTTAATCCTAATAAATATTCCATACTAATGATATTATAATTTTATATACATTATGTTATTTATTAGACTCCAATTCAGGCCCAAACCCATTGATTCATGTTTAATCAATATAATTGTACGTTTTACGCTAGGTGTGGGAACGGGTCGGGTACCCGCGATTTTATGGTTACCAGAACCTGAATCCGAACCCAAAAATCATATAAATTAAAAACCCAAACTCGCAACCGTTTTGATCGGGTATCCAAAAATCGGGTACTCGAAATAATGTTTAAGTATCCGTGGATACCCCAACACGGAATTTAAATATAAAATTTATCAGATATAATATTAAGAAAAATATCATAAAATTTTCAATTTTAACCAAGTTATAAAAAATATAAATGATATTCATAAAAAAACATTACAAAATCATCATATTTTAATTATTTATGAAAGATGTCATAGGTAATCAAAAAACAAAGAAAGTTATTAGCCAAAAAATATCTAAGAGTAATTCTTTCACAAACTCACACTGACTCGAAAACCATATGAAACTAAAGTAGATTAGAGATGAAGGAGAAATGAGAAGTACGTGCACATGAAAACGATCAGAAGAAAGGAGAGATAAAGAAGTGGAGAGAGAGAGAGGAGAGAAATGGAGCGAGATGGAATGGGGAAGTGGGAGACGGCTTCTGGAAAAAAAGTAGGAGAGAGCAATGTAAAATTAATCTTAGGTTTTAGTGTTATTCTTTCAAAATATAAGGATGAAATTGTAAATCTATGATTTTTGGGTACCCGCAGGTAATACCCGAATCCGAATCTAACTACCCTAATCTCAGACTTTTTTAAGACTTAAACCCGATTTCATCTTATACATTAGTCGGATACCCGAAATTAGGATACCCGACTCGACCATATATCTCTTTGCATCTTTTTCATTAATGCATTTAGAAATAATAATTTATGAATTTTTTAGTATAAAATTTTATAAATTTAGATGTAATGGATATTTTTTTACATTTATCGAATGCTATCATTTTATTTTTAAATTTATATTTGTTAATTGATACTACCAACACCATATTTAGTAAATTATTGGCATTATTATTAGATAAGATAGATGTTGTATTGAATGAATAATGTTTGTCAAGATCTTGGAATGTAACATATGAACATAGGGTGTCAAAATGGTCGGGTCGGACCGGCCCAGCCCGAGTCCGACACAAGTCCTGAGAATTGTGGGTCGGCCCGAAACATGTGTAGACTTAAAATCTTAGGCCCGAAACCCAGCCCTGTGGACTTTTTTCGGGTTTGGCCCGGACTTCAGGCTTGAACTTTAAAAAAAAAATTAACAAACAAAAAATAAACTATAAAAATATATTAAAAAATCATATAAATAAAAAAAATTAATATATATATATATTGATAAAAACATTTATTAATATATATATTTTGATTTCAGAAAATTTAAACGCTAAATTTTAAAATTTTATATAATAAAAAAGTTTATTTAAATATTAAATTGTTATATTTTTAATCCTAATAAATATTCCATACTAATGATATTATAATTTTATATACATTATGTTATTTATTAGACTCCAATTCAGGCCCAAACCCATTGATTTTCGGGCCGGATTCGGACCGGACAACGGATCTCGGGTTTTTTTTATATCTCTATATGAACACGTCATTCCCTAGTGACTTTTTCACTGAAAAATGTTGTAATATGAGATGTACGACTTCAATAGTTTAATTTTTTACTCCGGTAATATGATTCGAAATTAAAATAATGAATGTATGAAAAATATAATTGAATTTTTCCATTTACTCATACACAACCGTTTATTTTTTATAATTAGATGAGAATTAAGAAAATCACAATAATCCTTCAAACATTATAAACTATAATCAATTATTTTAGTTATATAATTAGTATTTTAGTTTATTATAAATTATATTTTTTCATTTAAATGTAATTTAGGAATATATAAATATTCGTAAATCATATATTCATTTACATTATATATATATATATTTTAGAAATATTTAAATATTTTATTAATTTTATTAAATCACATCTTTGATATATTAAATATCCTTTTTTATATATAAAAGAAATAGTTAATGAATATTTTTTAATGAGCATTTTAATATATAAATGAGAATTAAAAAAGTGACACATAGATAATGATATTATATCACAATGTAATTTTTAAAAGAAATAAATTACATTTAAAGCATATTTTATCACAAAATCTGTATTACTATATTTATATTTAAAATCATATATTTTAAATTTATTAAAAATTCATAATAATTATATCTACATAAAAATTCACCAACTTTCCAAAAACTTCTATATAAATAAATGAATTTTGAATTTTATTAAAAAAATACATGAACTTTCTAATGTATATAGATATAAGTGTGGGTGTATGCGTGTGTATGTATATAGTCACTTTTCTTATATTGTCAATGAACTTCAAACTTGAATTCCACTTGCAAATGCATTATCTCCTTTGTTCGTATTTGAATCTTGAAATTATCCATCACAACCGCATACAAATACAAAGATCAGACATTTTTTTTTTTCAAAATCGAAGTCAGAAACAGAGATACAGTTGTAATATGTAACTCACATCCACTTGTAATTGAAGAGAAAAACATGAATTTACCCATTGAATTTGGAATGAGTTATGTAATCTTGAAGAAATCTCACCTCCTTACCAATTTCTCTCTTTACTTTATTGAGTGATACTTCTCATTCCGATCCTTGCAAAAAATTCACATTCATTGAATTTTAGTTAGCGGTTAATAATGAAAACAATTATCACCTTTTGGAAAGACAATTTGTGTTGATTAGCTTCAACAACAGCACTCTTCTTTACCAAAAACTGACATATTCGCTTTCAACTCGTGCATCCTTGCTTCTGCTAATTGGATATTTGCGGCATTTTCTGGGAATGGTGCTTCTCGCACACGTGCTTGTCTTTTGGCAACTTCAGCTGTCTGTTTTGTTTTTTCAATGTCATTTACATTAGAAAAATTTAACGAAGTCAATGTTGGTAAAATTAGTTTACCTAGCGTTCACGACGTAGACACCAGTGTATGTGAAGAATGCGATACGGTCACCGGCCGACGAAAACGACGGGAACCCACCTTCGATTCTGAAGAGAGAAAGGTCGGGCGATGATGATTTGATGTTCTCGAGGAGAAGCGAAGACGTTGTCTGTCCGTTGGCCTGCCCTCTGCAACTGTGGTATCCGACCCGTGTCGAATTAGGGGAGAGAAACGGGTTGAAATGGTGACTCTTTGGCGACACCAGACGAGTCAACTCGATGAAATCTTTCCTTTTCAGGTCGAACAGTTCTACGTGGCGGATATCCGAGCCGGGTCACCGAGTGGCAACCGCGATGAAGTCGTGGTTGTTGGGCGACGTAGCGGGTGCGAAAGCGTGGATACCCGGTGGTGTGACTCTGAATCGTTTTTGATTGGGTGGTGTTATATAGGAATACAGACGTTTAAGTGTATAGAAAAAAATAAATATTAAATGTTATGTAATAAAAATAATTAGTGGGATATTTGAATCAATAAAAAAGTGTAATGGGAGCGTTAAAAAGATGATTAGTGGGTTAATCAATATGAAATCAATTAGAAAGTGTAACGTCCACCGTTTTTTGTTTTTGTTTTAATTTTTTACATAATGAAGTTTTAAACACTAATTGAATTTATTGTCGTCTACTCCATGATCATGTTAAAATGACCGTTTTTTATATCTAATGAAGTTGGTATTTTTGTATTTTTTTAATTATAATAATAATTATTGACATTTTTTTATATGATTCATCTCAAAATTTTCATGTAATGTTTTATTTATTATTTTTATTAACATAAAAGAATCAATATAAAAAATAAATATAAAAATTTAAAAAGTGATAGGTATTTTATATAATAAATATAGTTTTAAATATAGTTTTTTATAATTATAATAATTTATTAATATTTTAAAATTATTGATGTGTAACAATTAATAATAGTCTATTATAATACCAAAATTATATTGATAATCAATATCCAATCAAAATTAAACAAAATGACACATAGGATACTTAGGTGGCTTCACCACAATCCTTTAAACTCCTTTATTAATATATATAGATTTAATTATAAGGGCAAAACTTAATTGACAATAATGTATGGCGAATATAACTCCTAATGCAAAAAAAAAAAAGTTACACGTATACATGAAAGCTATCAATGCCGGAAAACTTGAAAGAGTTACAGCAGAATATTATCCCAAGAAAAAAAAAGGAAGAGATGGGCAAGAAAAATATACAAAAGTACGTGTATCTATACACGTATATTGACAAAAGTTATGATTTTGTATGTGTATGTATGTGTGTCTCATTTAGAAAGCAAATGACGAGCACGTTGATTAGCGCCTTTGACGCGAGAGTTGAGTTCATCAACATCGTCGCTGAGATGATCAAGGGCCTTGTTTTGCCTGCAAATCTCACCATCATGTATGTATATAGTATATGTACGTATGCATGCATGTATATATGACAGACCTGTCGAGTTCACTTCCCATGTCGACAGCCATGCTCTTCATATCTCCCAGGATGTCGTTTAAATCAGACAGTCCATCTTCTTGCTTAGCCTTCTCTTGCTGCAACCACACAATTTATAATCCTTGTATTGTATCCAGAGATCAAAATTGAATATAAATCAACTCATATAGCTTCTAACTTATATATATTCTGAGATGTCAACAGACCTCGACTCTCTGCAGCGCATTGGTTGGTTCTGGAGGTGGAGTTTGGCTGTGTGATCTGCCTTTGTTTCCTGCGGGAACCAGACCAAGTTTTTCTCTCTGCTCCTTGCGATTCTCGCTCTGTTTGCTCGGATTATCTACAAGATTATAACAATTAACTATCATATTAATTCCAAGCATGATTTAGTTAATGATCTGAAATGCATAAAATGTTATGTAGTACCGGGAGTGATCATAGGCCCCGTGATTTGTTTGTTCTTCTTCGGCTTCCATGGCTTGGAGAACATTCCTCCCAGGTTGTTCAGAAGCTTCTCACCCTGATTTTATCGAGACCATGATGAGCAAAACCCTGGTTCTATCTCCTTTTTCCCATTCTATGTTCTTGAATCTGATCCGACATTGGTTTTCAGAGATCAGACAAGAAGAACACTCACCCGGCTGAGATCTTTATCCATCTCAATCGCCATGACATGAGTTCTGTTGATCTGTTCGCCTTGCTGATGCAACATATCGAGCGTTCTCGTGGCATCTGATCTTATATCTTCCGCGATTTTCAGACAGTTGTTAACGTTCTTGGTCGTTTCCTCGGCCTTGTACACTGCATAGTTCTCGAGTTCTTCTGTAGTCTGGCTCTGCAATCCACCAGAGTCTCGGAACTCGCTCTTGTAATAATCTTCCCTGCCGAACTCCGGGATCATAAGGATAGGCTCTGAGGAAGTTCGTCTCCCCTCGTTTATCGTCCCCTTGCCGTTCGATTCGTTTGGAAGCTTGTTTCCCGGCGATTTGAAAAGCCCAAACATCTTTTATCAACAACAAAAATCGATTTGCAGAACCTGGGAAATGAAACGGGTTTCATCATATACTTGCAGGGAAAGGATGTGTTCATACAATCTCCAGAACTACGATTTGGCGTGAAGAATCTGAGACATAACTGTTTTCACGATGAACATGGCAAGTTATCTGTCACTAAAATATGACGAGAGACGAAATTGAATGAAATCGTTTCGGGTTTATAGCATAACAAGAGATGAAATCCCATATGAGTTTCCAGAAAATGCATGAAAAGGATTGAACTTTGAGAAATTAACCTGTATATGGATTGGAGAATCCGAGAGAGAACTCTTTTTGTCAAAGATTGAAAAAAAAAAATCGAATTCACGATAAGGAACGGATGGAAACGCAGAGGATAAGCAAAGGGCATGGATCAAATCGTTTGAGAAATCAAATAAAAAGGATAAAATCAGAAGAAAAAATCACCTAAGATCAAAGTGGCTGTCCAAAGATGCAGACTTGACAACGATTATCGAAATTTTTGAACTTCACGACGGGTAAAGAGCATCTCTCTCTCTCTTTCTCTCTCTCTCTCTCACCATCTCTCCCGTACAATCTGACCGTGAGTCCCCAAAGCCTCTCTCCGAAACAGAAGTTTCTAAAAGTCTGAATATTTGGATTTACACAAAGTGGAAAACGAGGAAATTCAAGGCCAAGACCAACTCCATGGCAATCTCAATGGTCAATGTCTGAAAATTCTTTTTTTTTTTTTTGAATTTTCTTAGAGCCTCTTCTGAAATTTCTTGACTTTACGAAAAGAATCTGGTGACTGATTCTATTTTCAGCATTACAGTTTAATCAACAGAGACAATCTCCACACATTACTGTGAAAGAACCGAAGAGAAGTATACAGTGAAAGAAGAGAAAAAATGTTCATACCAATTGATATAACCGACACCTCTCTACCAATCCTTCCATGAGGAAGTCTTGTTCATCTTCAGGCGCTGTAATTGGAAAATTAAGGTCGAACGTGGGCTTATCCCTCTTAGTTGCAGCTTTGGTATTTGTTCTACCACATTGATGCAGCCTTATGCGATCCCTCCGACCATTCTCTTCCTTCTGCTCTTCCCAGTTCAATCTCTCGAAAGGATTCCCTCCTGCTTCGGGCAGGAGATTAAGATCTTTCAGATCGAACAGATCGGAAACATGCTCTCTCCTTCGTGTTTTCAAGTTCAATCTCCTGAGAGGATTATCCCCTGTATCTGATGCGGATTCATCATCATGGACAGGGAGATTAAGATCGATCAAACTGGAAATGTGCTCTCTCTTCTGTTCTTTCGAGTCCGATCTCTCGCTCGCTTCATCTGCCGAGCTTTCGCTTCTCCAAGATTCAGCAGCATCCTCCGCTGTCTTTCCGGGCACAGATTCAGATTCAGACCCTCCAAGTTGCTGACTTTTGTTAATCCCGTCACCAGAAACTCTTGATTCTGCCGTGTCAAGATCCGTTCTTTCTCCATCACCATCATCGGGCTTGTGTGTCACTTCCAAAGTGTTCTTCCGTGAAGAGATTCTTGGATCTACAGATTCTGTTTTCGCCTCCTTATCCGCATTTCGAAATGGCAACAGATTTTGCATTTCTGGGTTCTTTTTCTTTGAACCTGAAAAGATCTCAACGTCATCCGAAAGTCTCTTCCTTTTTCTTGAATATGTCCTCATAGTCATAGTGTTAGGGTGTTTACTCTTCCAATCGCTCACACTAACATTAACTTCTTCCTCAACTTCTCCTCCTCCTCGTGCTGCTTCAGCGCTCTTGTGAGATTCCTTGTCTTCACCTTTCTCAATCGGTGATTCCATGGCTCTGGGCCGAATCAAATTCAAACACGTGTTACTTGGTCGGTGCAAAGATCCGGCGAAGAAGCAAGAAAGTGAAATCGGCCTTTTAATTATATTCCGCCGGAAAACGGAGAGAGGGAGAAATCAGAACAATGGGGAAATGAGTAGTTGATGGAGGAGGTTAACAGCACATATATATATAAGAGGAGCAACCAAGAAAATCTTTCTTCTGTTCCAAGAAATCAAGGGAAGATCCATTATATGCTTGCGGCCAAGATCTCCTCTTGGGAGTTACATAACAATTTGTAAGACGAAACCCTCTTTGCCATCAAAAGATTTGTACAAACGAGTTCTACAGGAGAACCAGAAAGTTTGGCTATTACAGAATCTGAGAGGCTTTTCACAAAATTTTCTACATTTTTTTTTTCAGGAGAAAGTAATTTAGATATACAAGAGAGAAGGGAAAAAAAAAACAAAATCATGGCTTCGCTTTACAACTTGTGCTTCTTAAATAATCCCATTTACAAAGAAGAGAAGACGAACACCATTGAAGAACCCTTCATTTACTTCCCTCGGAATGATCTTCCCAGGCATCTAGTCCGAATATCTCCTCAATCATGTTCGATGTCGGTAGAAGATCCACGCTCTTGGTCCAAGGGTTTGGCAGCAGTCTTGTGTCGCATGCATCGAATGAATACAACTGGTTCACAATATCGCAGCACCCATCAAACCTATGGTGGTGCCAACATTTCCCCGTGTCGGGTTTCTCTTTGTTTCCCTTAGGACTACGAGTGTAGACCAAACCAGGTTGGAACTCCAAAGACATGCACGACCCATCTTCTGCTGTCGCTGCTTCCCCATCGTTGCCTGAAACCTTATCCATATGGCCTCCTCTGTCACCATCTATGTTGTTGTTGTTGTCACTGTCATTATCATCACTGCAGTTGCTCTCACCATTGTTATCTCCATGCGAGAGGCTTTTCTTGTATTCCTGGCCAGTGTGCCGGTGAAAAGAAGACCCCAGGAAAGAGTCTTCTTCCTCACCTGGAGGAGCTTGGGCTCCATAAAAGGTATCATAGTCCGCTCGCCATTCATCATCGTCACTGTCAATGTCCAGGCTTTGGCAACGGTTCTGGACGGCTCGTCTTTGCAGGACGAATACATTAAAATAATAGCTCACGAGTTCGTTTATAGTTCGTGAAGGAAATGCCGCCTCTAGGTGCTTCCAAAAATTCCGATCCAGTGAAGCTGGATTGGAGTAAACCACCTCATGAAAGAGGTCCTGCTCCTCCTCAGTCCACTTGCGGGAAACTTCCTCCCCCATTTCACAGAAACCTAACTTCACAAATTTTTCATACCCAATAGTTTCCATCAGGTCTTCCCTGGCTTCCATGGTGTGCTGTCGCACACATCTGACAGTGCCCTTGTCCCAGCAGAGGCAATCGTTTCTTCCTTTACCCATTACGCAAACCTCAGTTCCCGATACATTGCCATCAGGAGCTGGAATTGTGCACTTTCCCATCAGTCTTTCTTCGTCTTCATCCAGAATCTCTTCCTTGACAGGCCTACCAAATTCGGGGATGACAGCCTGATAATTAGGCCCAATCGGAACTTGCTTTCTTGGAGAGCGATCCATAAGACAGAAATAATCATTCTCCACAGGGGAAAGAGGTCTCCAGGGGAAAACTGAATCAGGTGATTCATGAGAGAGGGATGACTGAATCGTTGCACCAGACCCAGCATCCTCCTCAAACGAACTTGCATTTTCATTCCAAGTATCACCTTCAATCTCATCCTCACTTTCAGACCTGCATAGGTCACTCATTTCCTCTACACACAATGCAAGACAAAACCATAGTTCAGCATGCTACTAAGCCGTCTCAGAACAAAGAAAAACCAATTGATGTATTATTACCTATGACACTGGGCTTCCTCGAGGAAACGTGATATGGAAAAACTACATCTAATTGGGTCAAGTCATTGTCATAAGTAAGTGGTCTTGCGTGCTTCAAGTTCAACTCCTGCACCTCCTCGGCATTAAAAGGGCGCTTCAATCCCATTTTTATTTGACCTGTACAATGGAACATGAAGGACTAAAGTTAGTTACTTGACGTTGAATGTCATAATTTTAACCCGCATGTGTAAGTGTAATTATATCCTAAAACCTGATAGGCAAGGTAATAATTAGCTGTAGATATGTACACTATTCTACTAAAGCCACTTGCTTTTAATGGAAAATTCTAGAAACTTTGATGGGTATGGTGGGAATTGAAAAATTTTGGAGTCTCACGACAAATTAACAACAGGAAAATATGTTTCCCCAATTTAATTTCAGAAAATTAAAAAATCCCCAATTTTAAACGAAACCCTAACCCTAGATTTCAATTGACGACAAAATCACCAAATTACGAATTAAACAACGACGAATCGCCTAAATTTCAAAAGAAAAGACAAAAGCCCTCTGATAATTTATAGATCTAGCAACCCTAGGGGCGCCAAGAACAGAAAACTGAAAAAAATCAAAGGAAACTCGAAATTTATATCCGAAATCGAGACGGGTACTGAAATGAATCGATATTTAGACGAACCCCTAACAGGATCTAACGTTTTGAGGTCTCGATGATGAAAAGCATATCCAAACCCTAGATTTGACCACCGAGAGGGGCTAAAATCAAAACAGGTATCAATCGAAAGAAGAAACAGAGAGGAAATAGGAAATTACAATCAGAACGAACGTCGATCTGGAAGAAGGAGAGGATCAGAGCGAGAAATTTGACGAAAAAATCTGGCGACGAAAAAATTGGGGAAATTTCGGAGGCGGCTAGGGTTAGAAATCGTGGTTTTCGAATAGAAAGAAGATCCGATTTTGAAACCCGGGTTGATTCGGATACCGAGACCACTTCGAATGAGCTGTACCTTATTTATTCTGAAAGCACACTAAATCACGAAAATACCCTCGCGATTTACAAGTACTTGCCTATCAACTTGCACATTGTGTGCACATCTACGTACACGCGTTTTAACAAAAAACCAAAATTGATTTAGTTAACAGTTGCAAACCGGAACAAACCGGTCCGACCGGATTAGAATTTGGAGCTCTCACCTCGGGACTTGATTCCATAAACCCTAAATTCCCAATTCCCAATCTCACCTCACGTTACCAAAATTTGCAACCTTCGCTCTATTGCTGCCGGAGATTACCGTGGTGGGCGTATTTTTGGTTTTTGGGAGGCGTGGGAATATCTTCCTTGAGGCTATTCGTGAACAGAACAGGTAAATATGATTCTTTTGATTCATGGGGAGTTTCAGCAGGGATCGATTTTGTCGTGCTTTTGATTGTTGCTATGATGATGATCTTACACCCCTTTTCTGCATTCGATCATTTGGGTAATAATGCATTAGTCTCAGGTTTTAGTGTGGGATTGATCCTAATGTGTGGTTTCATTGTTTGGAGGATTTCTGGAATTTTCAATTGATATTGCATATGGTCTGCGTTGCCCTTTTCCGTCATATGTTTATCATGCTCTATAGAACTGTTTGAATCTGTAGACATGTGTTTGTGTTGAGAAGTTATGTGTATCCAATGGCGCTGGTACCCAATAGTTGGTAGTGCTTGAGATGATAAAAGGTCATATTCAAGTCTGGTTCGATTCCACTGATTCCACTGATGTAGAGGATATAATTTCTGGATCAAAATGGTTCATATACAAAGGTTGAAGGGGTGGGAACTATCCTGGTTATTAAAAAAAACCATGGCACTGGTTGTGATTTGTGGACAACCTTGTATTAGAAAATCAATGGCTGCAGTTTCAGTATCCAAAGCCATGAAATGATCAGAATCGAAACAGACGGTCAGGATCGTTGACGAGCGGAGAAGAATCTTGCTCGCAAAGTCGCAATCAGAGCTTTGTCAACATGCCAGCGGAGAAGAATCTTAGGGGGGAGTGCTTGAGTCAGAAATTGATAGATCGGTTGCAAGAGACAGCATTCTTATAGTTGATCCGTTGAACAGCATCAAGGGTTACAGATACGAGTTACGGTGCTTGGCTCGTGCCACTGGCATTCGATATTGTGTTCTGTACTGTGACATGGATGAAAACCATTGCAGACAATGGAATAAGGAACGCAGAGAAAAAGGAGAGGCATCATAATTTGGTAACATTTTGAAGATTTGAGAAACCCGAGAGACGAAACAGATGGGATTCTCCTCTCTTTGAACTATACCCTTCCGGAGGTGGAATAGAAAAATCCTCTCCTGCTCTAATGGATACAGAGGCGAATTCTTTGTGGAAACACAAGCTCTTGATGGGACTGTGGGAACTGGAAAGAGACTCCAGACCAGTTGAGCTCTCTTTGTTCTTGAAACCTTGCCTGGAATCACGCTTGATCCCTTTTTTTCCCGATTAAATTATGGGCAGAAATTGTTTTTTGTTTTGTTGGTATGTGATTATTGTATCTGAAGTTATTGGCGTTGTACGAAAGACAAAGGAGATGTTTTTACCGTTGTTTGTGTGTGTCTGTGTGTAATAATGTTGCTTGGCAGTAAAAGGGGGAGTTCCATGCAGTAAGCCAAAACTGCCATTGTTTCTTTAACATGAGATGGACAGAAAAAAAAAATGACCCGTTTGACGCTTTCATTTGTTTCTCTTTACCTTTTTTTTCATTAAATATAATATATATATATATATATTACAATTTAATCATATACAAGCCTTTCTTTAATAGTGATTGACCAACTCGGGTAATTAGATTAGTAAGATACAAAGACTTCCCCAATTAATTACTATTTGATTATGCATGGCGGTTGTTCAATTTAGGCCATTGAAAAATGAGCCAATTCCCATTACAACTTCACGTATTGATATAAACGTATTTTTGTGAACTAATATGTGTCGCAATAATGTTTATACAAAAATGTGTCACAATAATATGATAAAAGAGACCAAAATACCCAATTTATTAAATGTGGAATCTGCAAAGCAGCAATACCATTATCTGCAATTATTCCTTCGGCCGCTACGCACTATGTTGCTTTGTTTCTTGCAGGAGAACACAATGATTTTCTTGTAATAAAAGTTACAACCTTTTTTACAGATCTAATTAATTAGTTAATTCATATTAATTAAATTTAGTTGCGAATCAATTAGTGCTGCTTGGTTGCACATTTATTCGCATCAATCATAAACGAACTCTACGCAGAGCAGGAGCTCACAGCCCCCACAAAACTGGACTCTCTCTCTCTCTCTCTCTCTCCGGCTTCTGAATCGAAATCTAAATCCTTTTCGACGACCCATTAATGGTACGCACCTCAAAAACCCTAATTGATTGCGTCTTCGTCGTTGATGATTAGTTCTGACATTTTTTGAATCCGATCTCTTGTCATCTTTACCATTTTCAAGATCTCGTCTTTTCGAATTTGAGATTCCGGTTCCTGGACAGAATCGGAAAGCTTTTCTGGGTTCTTTTTGTTGATGATAACTAGAATTTGTGAAGAAAAGTAGGTTCGTTTTCGTTTCATTATGTAATGACTACAAAAGGAAAGTTTCTCTTTTTCTGAATTTTAATTTTAATCCGCGAGATTTAATTGCAGGTGGTTGATCTGCGGCATCCCAGTTCCATTTCTGCAATCGGCATTC